CCCACGAAAGACATGGTTGTTTATTTTATAATCCATATGAAGGTGGTCCCTGTTCTCTTATTTTAGAATAAGTCAGAAATAGGATAAAAATAATATCATTGAGGTTTAAACAACTATCCCAACGGAAATATTTCTTTTCTGTGAAAATTGAGTGGTAATATTACTGTTTACCTACCAGATATACATATATATGTAGCTTTTTCATTGTAAATTGGTATTATGTTAAAAAAACCGAAACATGACATTGATATATCATACCAAACAATTGCCCAGTAACTAGTAGAAATTGGAATATTTCTTTGAACTAGATCAGCTGTTAAGCTAAATATTTATTTCTGGTCTTTTAATTGTAAATAATTTTAACTTAATTTTGTAGTTTATTGAGTTGAATGCTGAAAAGTCATAATAAAGTATCTATAACAAATACATACTGTCAGTTGAATTATGAACAAACCACTAGCCGATCAGGATGGAGATGGTGAATTCAAGTTTTGTGCTAGATTAAAAAAGTAAATCTAATTACCATTAAACGTTTTTGATTGAGATCATGAACCGATTGATGTTAGACGACCATTAAAAACCTGGAAGCACTGGACGGCCGTTCCGTCCTATTGTGGGACTCCTCAGCAGTGCACATCCACGATACCGTTCGCAGGATTCGAACCCAGGGCCCTGAGTCTCGAGCGCGAACTCTTAACCTACTGGACCACTGAGCCGGCATCCAATAGTATTAATGTCTAACCTCAACCAATCCACGAAATTGCGCGACCATCTTCCATTGCACTAAGGTGGACACCTGTTTCTACCCGACACGGATTAACTCCACTGGTCACCATTAAACTGTCAAGTACGTTTTGGAAGATTCCTTTTCGGAGTGTGTAAAACACGCAATATAATGGATTAATCCACTGTTGCATGTAAATTGTGTAATTTGGTTGTAACAATAAGTGTAATGTATAATAGTCCCGATACCATTGGTGTTCAGAATGTCAGTAACTGCTTCTTTTTAATGTGTTCAAAGTAAGAACTCACAAAATCCTGTTAATAATAACGTAGCAACAGAGAGGGACCCTTTTGTTTACATAGAACACTTTGATCGATATCCCATAACGTAGTTTCGTACATCTTTGAGGGTTCGAAACAAAATATTTGGAGCTAAATCAAATGACCAATTAAACCGATTATAATATTCTAAAATTCAAAAACAATACTGAACATTATAGATCATTTTTTCACAAATAATTTTATGTAATCATTGAAATTAACACCGTACCCAATATCAGTAGTCAACCATCTAACGAAAAAAATTCCAGGAAACTCATATTGAAGCCAGTCCCTAGCGATCAAATGTTAATTATCAGTATACAGTTATCGAGATTGTTGAGTGGACGAATGTTAGACCACCACTGAAAGCCGGGATCGTGGATTTGCACTGCTGTGGAATCTCACACTAAGACAAAATGACTGTCCATTGCTTCCAGATTTTCAATGGTGGTCTAACATACATTCATTCATGATATCAATTAAGACTTAACAATCTCCATAACCTTATACTAAAAAAAACAATTGAAACAATACTCTTTTTGTTAAGTGGACTTAGTCATGAGTAACTGACTGTGGTTGAAGAAAAAAGTATGATTTTCACGATGCTACCAAGTGGTTCCTGAATCCGAAATTTTAACTAATGAATAAAGAGTATGCGTCCACCCATCTAGTTATAAGAATCAAATGTTTCATACAATTTATATATGAGTAAACATTTCTAGAATTTTTTTGTGCAAAATGATATTAACAATAACTAAAAACGTTTTGTGAGTATAAAATTTTAATCTGGATGTTATATAGCTTGATGTGACATAAGATCATGTTGGAAAAATGAAGCATATCTTTAAAATTGTATATTGACTATATTCAATAAAAGATGGGAATTTCATTAATAATGTTTTCTCCAAATGGTATTTTCTCCAAACGTTAGCACTTCTCAGTCGTATGTTGACCAAATTATAATATTCATTTAAGTTTTATCATTCGTTTGAAAAGAATTCAATCAGGAATTTCATCAAATCAAATGATTCTACTCAGTTGAAGACAAAACCCAATTCACAATGTTTGCAAAATTTCGTCCATAATTTCATAACAAATTCTGATTCAGTTTTACTGATTTACTTTACATGTTAAATATTTATTTGTTACTTCCTTAACTTACCAAATTTGAATTAGCCTCATCACGGATATTTTTTTTTCCGTGAATCTTAATATAAACGGATTTGTTGTTTGACAGTTGCTTTATGTAAGAGATCTTATCAGGAAAATAAACATTTTAAAAAAGATAATTTTTAAAAAAAATACGGTATATTAAATGTTTACTGTGTTATACAGTTTTATATTATATCAGTGAAATATCACATTTTTTGTTTGGTTAATTAATACTGAATTGTAGTGACTTTACTTTGTTATTTATTCTCCCCAATCACTGTTATAATATAAATCTCAACGGTGATTTAAATCAAAAGGCAATGAGAAGCGGCAACTACAGTTAGTTAGGGGACAGCGCCGATCACAAAGCTATATGCATATCGAGCAAATTCGAAGCGGAGAAGCGAATAAGTATATGTAAGCAAATACATAAGTAAATTTATAGTCAAATTGCATAAGGGTGCAGCAAGGCAAAGCAAAGACTAATAATAGAATTTGAGTACATACATACATGAGGAGGAGGATGAATCACCGGGTGATATTTAGGCAATCAACGTTTTAGCTAGAGTCTGTCATGTGATCTAGTGATCATAATAGTACAAAAAATATGCGAATTGTTACTGTTCGAATAACATTGTCTGTTAAGTAAGTTAATGAAAGGGCTTAGCCAAAATTAACCATAATTGAAATTGTTTGTAGGATAGTTGCTATAGTATAACTGTGAATAATCAGTAGTTCTGCAGTAATCATTGAAATTATATAAGTTTGGAAATTTTTTAAAATGAATCTATAGTACTGAGATTAACAAATTCTTCCAGTGAATATTCTTCATTATGCATATACAGACAATAACTTCAGGTACATCTGAATGTTGTATTTGATCTAATTCAAGTAGGATAAAGTGCTCCTCTTAAAAGTTACTACTAACCACAAACAACATCAACCGATAATTTATTTCCTATTTTCCTTCTCAAATAAAGAAAAAAATTGTTATTACATCAAGAGAAATTCAACAATTTATTCATACCTTCTCACGGTATATCGTCTTCACAATATGCTTACCTGCTTGTGGTCTTTCATAAACTTCATTAATACACAATTCTATTAATAAAAATTTAGTGTAATATTTATTGTTTTTTCACAAGTATTTTTGATAACTTTTTTAAAAGACATCTACCTTAAAGTTTTTCAAGCCATTGAATCATTTAGTAGCGACAAATTATTAATTAAATTATTGTTCCTGTTCTGTTTATGGTAATGTAGAAAAGCATTTGTACGTTATTATTACATTAAGGATATAAAATGTATGATATATATATATATATATACTCATATAATTGTAAATCAACGGAAAATGTAAAGTACGAATACGTGTGTACTTGTCAATGATTCTCTAAATTGATACACAAAAAGTGGTTGTCAACTCAACTCTGTCAAGTTCATTAAAAATGAAGTAACTTAGTAATAAATTTTTAACCGTAACATTGGGTACTATTATGCAGAAAAAATAACAGAGTTGGTAATTAAAAGATTGTTCGTAAGGATTATAAGCTGACGTTAAACTAAACTTAGGATAGTTATTTGTATTATGAATGAGAATACATTCTGTTAGAGAAATAATAGTGAACAGACTAATTAATACATTGCGGAAAACATCAAACTTCATTACGAGGCAAGCGCTATCTTGAGATTTCGAAGGGAAAGGCAAAAGAGGTTTTACACTATTGTTATAAACTTAATGAAAGTAATAATCGAAATGTATAATCATATAAAGTGAAACAATCTGTAGCCAGAATACTCCACGTTGAGCGATTTTATAGATATCACTGAAGAGAAAAATACGTTTGCTTGCATGATTGATTGCAAGAATAGTAATCTTCGACAGCGTTTTGTGAGAATGCTGTCATTGGTCATTTTGGTTGTTGTGAGCATATATTACATGTTCTGTTGTTAATAATTCTAAATGTTACTGTCTTAGTTGAAAATCTTTCGAGCAATACTTCTGATGCCGTTTTATGAGTCACTTTAAGGGTACATTAGTCAGACAGGAAGTTTGAAAACAAAAATTTGTATGACTACTTATTTTACCAGTTTAATTAAACTATTCAGCCTTATAGACTCAAGATTATTACCAAAAACAAATTCTGAAAGATTCTATGGGGATCATTTGTTGTATCTAGTCATCTGCTTCAACATGTCTACGTTTATACTTTAAAGATGAAGCAATTTGGGTGAGATTTCAGAAATAATAATTTATACTTAATATGGTTCATTTATATCCTTTAAGCATCTCAAAATTCATACTGACATCACTCATCTATACAAACAGTACGGTGGTATGAGAATAAGAATCTGAAAACGGCTGATTATCAATTCATATAAACAAACCTAATTAGCGCTATTTCATTGTGACAGCTTAGTAATAATGTTAGTAACTGTACTGTTGTGTGGAAAAATCTCCAGCTTTCACTATGCTTTTCAAGCTTGTTGTGGAGTCATGCAGGCTGTTATGAAATTCACATAAATATCTTTTATTTTGATGATAATCTACCATATACTGGTTTATCAAACTCTACTATTCACACCAAGTAGAAGATTTGAGTCAGCATTACGAATTATATTTCATCACTACGATTTACTCAGCAAGATATTTCTCTTTTCTAAACAGGTTTCTGTAAGTCTAAATATGAGTTTAGATGACCAAATATGATTCATTACTTCCATTTATATCTTTTGTATACTCTATGCACTGCATTATTGTGAATTACTTTTAATGTGTTTTCTTACATTCTAATCTAATTTAGTTTACTCACGAGAAGAACTGGCACGTTATTTAAATCATATGTTACAAGAAGAAGAAGCATCTATGAACAAACTGCCGATTTCTCCTTTACGATTTGGATAATAAGGTTAATGGAATCAAGAATAGAACTAAATTAAACTTTATGTTCAATTAATTGTGAATGTTATGATAAAGGAAATAAAACGATTATTCATTTGGTATTTGATTCACTTTATATGATAGTTCTTGGGACCTATACAATCAGGGTCGATTTCTATATATTAGATATGAGAATTTTTAGTTTGTTAAGCTTTGATTTATGTTCTTTCTAAAAGATTATTTAAAGATATGGATGCGTAATAGTATTGTATATTAATTTCTGTGTTAAGCATGCCTATTACTTCATAATTTAGAGATTTTTGTAACTCAAATGAACTACTTTTCATTGTGAACTATTTACCATTAAAAGTTCATATAGGCTACTTAATATTGGATTACTCATCATTCATACCATTTTAAACATGAATAAATATAACATTCATAAAACCTGATACACTATCAAATGATCGGTTACTACTTTTAAGAATATACTTAAACTTGTGATTAAACCACTTAAGTAAATAACAATGTAATATGAAAACCTCACATACTTTTAACTAACGTCCTCATTAGTATATTAGTTGTAAATTATTTTATATTAAAACGAACAAATTAAACATTTTATGGTTGAAAGTGTTATAATTTTAAAATAAATGTTCTTCAAAGGTAACAAATATGTGTCTTGAAGGAGATCTTCGGATTACACATCGGAAAACTAATAATTCTAAGAACTAAATGCTATTTACTTACAGCTTCTCATGTAAAGGAACATATGTTGATCAAAACACTAAGAGAAGAATTTATCAAGTAAACGAGATATTGATGTAATTTGTAATATATCGTACCATTCCAGCTTTGAGACGTACTAATTAATATGATCTTCATGATTCCCTGCCTACACATTTGTTTGACCTTGTAAATTGACTTGTAAATTTTATTGCTTGAATGTGAGCATGTGTTTATGTGTGTTTATATAACTAACCCTTTTCATCAGTTGTGTTTTCGTCTGACTATAGATTTTGAGTTTCGTTTTATTAAATGAAGTTGGGGACGTTTATCTTATCCGCTTCATATATCTCATCGTCTGTCTGAATAAAAAGAATTCCTAGAATGAATGTATCCAAATTATTTCGTATTTGGCTTTTCATAACCACTGTCTCCCAAACGGTGTTAGCTCATGTAAAGTGTACGAAATCTGACAAACAATTTATGTTTATGGTTCATTTCTCTATCATTTGTTATGTAGTTAATGCGCCATCGAGAGTTTTTCAACACATTTTGGCTATAGATATTACCAGGATCTGTTTTGGATTCAGTGTTTGAATGTTCTTTTACGTTCCTATTTCACACAAACATGTAGAAAACATACGTTTACATGTTAATTTTATCTTGCAAATATGAAGTTTCAGTAAATTATGAAATCTCATGAAAATCTAGTTTGGTCGAGATAAACAGAAAAACTCCTGAGTCGACATTACTAATTTTACGTTGATTTCCATAGTTTTCGTCCATTGAATGTAATACACTTATAAATCATAGAATTTACCGTTCAGATTAAATTGACAATGTGCTTTAATACAATTGTTTAAGTGATAAGCATATTTAGCTCATCAATTTCTGTTGAAGTCTAAGGCATCAGTGCACACGTCATTATGGTTCAGGGTTCGCATATACAAAACCTTAAAAAAATCATATAAGTCAAGTTATTATTATCTTATTTTCTGAAAAACGTGTACAATAAGGATGACTAAAATGAGAATAGTTTAGTAAATGAAATCGGGCTACCGCTTTCGTTAGTCTAAAATCTGACAAACTTAACTGAGGTATTGTGTTACTTGATTGACGGTCACATTTTAGAATTTAATCATGACTAATGGCTAAACAAAACGACGGTGGTTACTATTCAGTGATCAACCTATATAAAGAACTTTGTCTTACAGCGACTGCTAGAATACATAACTGTTCCATTACTGCAATCAACTAAATGTAATCCATCAATTTGGAGACTAATGTATTTTTAATAAAGGCGTATTCTGCAACAGTTCACTTCCATACCAACATTATCATCTGAATAACTCCGCCTGTAGTTCTTTCAGGGTTACTGACGGTCCCAAGACCGGGTAAAGAAGGAAGTTTGAGCATGTGCTCAGCAACCCCATGCAGTAAGAAACAACATTGCTAAAAATTGCTTGCCAGAAAAAGCAGTGTTAACCACTTTAACTCTGCCCTCAGAGTTGAAGGGTCTTCATTAAGAAGAATTATGATGCTTCATGGTGCAAGCTGGGATTCTTCAAAAGTCACTAGGCCATTTCTCTTTCTAACGACCAGGGGAACAATTAATATATGGATGTAGAATGTCCGGACAACGTGGAATGCCGAGAGGACCAAAACAAGTTGAGTAGATGAGGAGATACAACCCGGTGGTTCTCGTAATCAGTGAAACCCATTGAACTGGACAGGAAATATTAGATTCAGGAGAGATTCTATTGTACTTTAGTCATGCAATGAATGATTTCCACGCTCCGGGAGTTGTTCTGATACTGTTCACAGGAAAACAAAGAGTACTTATAAGACGGAAATCTCATGGACCCAGAATTATAAAACCATCTTTCTAAACAAAGAAAGCGGGAATTACAATGAATGTTATCTAGTGTCAAGTACCCACCAATGATAGCAATGGCAACGATAAAATCCAATTCTACGAGAAGCTGTATTCGAACATAGCTAAGTGTCCAGGAAAGGACCTGACAATTGTTAGGACTTTATGTCCGGCTAGTTATCACGTGATTTATCCGCGAATCAAAATAAGACTTATACAATCTTAGCACTGTGCCAAACCAATGACGCTTAGCCGGTATGAGCAACCTGGCGTCCTTATTGGTCCTATGTTCGCCTAGCCTTTCCATTTGAGTCCAGAACACCAATATCAGTTTTAGCTATGCGAATCATATATTTCAAACATACTGTGTTTATATATCAAACAAACAGACCTCAACGCACCATAAAATAGGAAATAACATTTGTACACAATAAAGCCAAAAAGTGGCTGTGAATGTGGGATACAACAGTCGATAAACTGAGCATAGGTCAAAATGAAGCTTATAGTGAGAGGAATATAAATATATATAATCTAATTATTGAATAATTATACAATAAGAATATTTATAGAATATCAGTCCATTAATAGTCCTCGGAAGTTACCCTTAATTTAATCTTCACTAGGATATAACAAAAATCCTGATGAGATACTTAAATATGAAACATAGGGAACATATGGAACTCAAAACAACTTTCAACCAATATCAAAGTCAGAATTTTCAATACGAGCGTCAAGACAGTTCAGCTGTAACCTGCTGAAACTTCGAGGACTAACGCAACCATAGTCAAAAAGGTAAAAGTATTTGTAAACAATTGTCCACGTAAGACACTGAATGTCCGTTAGCTGGATATGATCGGCACTAGCTTACTGTGAGAGAACCAACCAGCTTCCTTCTGAAGATGTTGGAAGTGGATAGGACACAGATTGAGGAAATCATCAAACTGCATCATGAGGCAAGCGCTAACGTGGAACCCTGAAGAGAAGCGAAGAAGAGGAACTTCAACGAACACACGACTATGAGAATTGGAAGCAGATATGAAAAGGATGTATAGGAACTAGAAAGTATTGACCAGGACAGAGTTGGATAGAGAATGCTGGTAAGCGGCCCATGTTCATCCACTATGGGTAACAGGCGTAAGTATGTATGCTACCATCTGAATATTAATTGATGAAAAATAAAGGACGACATCTAATCAGGAAATCAGTAGGCATTTCCTAAATCGATTTTGGAATAATCCGCGTTGAGTTTGTTATTGTTCGAAACATCAAAATGTTTTACATTTTAATAAATATTTCGCAGGGAAGATACTATTCCCTTTTTATTTTTGTTGTTTCTTATACTTACAGCTTACGTAGACGCTTTAGTAAGAATTTCAGTAGGTTGATTTTGGAAAATCATAAATGAACAGATGATGAGCGTAAGCAAATCAAACTGGCTATAACAGTATCCCTATTAACCCATACCTTTTTATCACCTTCTAATTAACACAATATAACTGATAAATTTATTTCAATGTTCATTATTTATTGAATTTATAGTATTTAATAATCATTAATAGACGGTTGGGGAGATTGTTGAGTTTTTACTGAGATCATGAACAGATCAATGTTCGACCGCAATTGAAAACCTGGAATCGCTGTACGACCGTTTAGTGGATTGGTTGAAGTTGGACATTAACACCATTGAATCATGTTCAAGTGGTCTAGAGGTTAGACGTTTTTGCAAAACCAAAAGTATTGGGTTTGAGTTTTACCTGCATGACTGCAAATGTATACTGTTGAAGAGTACCATACTGGGAGGAAGCGGTTGTTTGGTGCTTCCAGATTTAATAATCAGTTTACATGAATAAAATATATATACTGATATTTTTCTAAACATTGTAGACTACTTAAATTCATTCAGTAGTGTGAAACATTCACAAAATATTACGTGATAGTCAGGATAACGAAGAAATATTTTCAACCACCATACATTATATCCTAAAACTAATTATTATTTGGTATCTAATCTAAGCAAAGTTTGGTCTGTCAGACATATATCTTACCTTCGTATAACAATTGCTGACTCTAGTTAATTTATGTGAAATTACTAGTAGTCATTCAAGATATGTTAAATCATATACACAAACGTGATTCAAAAAGGTTCAAAAATGCTCATAACGTTGCATGAATGTGAGCAGCTTTCCGAGAACCTATGAAACTGATTTCAAACGAATGCAGTTTGTGTTTACAAACAATGTTAAATCTAATGAGTCCGAACTTTAACTTAGTGAGACATGAAATGCATGAACTTCACAAAATAAAATGATTTCATTCAATAGGTAAAACAACAAACAAATAGTGTTTTGACATTGAAATACAACAATACTCACTAAATAAAAATGTGTACATCACTTTTATAGATCGAAATATGATTGGTACGCAATATTTTCACTATTTTTGCATTATTTACTGGTTCTTATACAATCTAGCGTCTGAGCCGACCTTGCCATCAAATTATATGTGTTTTGTTGACATTTTAC